CCAGGTAGCACCCCTTCATCATATGGATAGGAGTAGTGGCATATGTTGCCAAGATGGCGGATTCAGGCATATTGTTGTAATACTTTGTAAGGTCCTCGAGAATAATCAATAAAGTGGCCGTATGCATCTCCCAGATGCAGAGGCCGGGGGTCATCCTCCTTTTCTAAAAAAAAAACAACCTCTTGTCAGGGTACGAAAACGTTTTTTTTTAGAACTGGTACGAGAACGTTGAAGCAAGGAGGATCACTCGCCTAGATAAGTTGCTAATTTATCTTTCTTTTCTGTCTACTGGAGTACCAAAGATCTGCGTGACAGTGAGGCTTGAGGATCGCACCTACTGTTCTGTTTCGTCATCGGCCTCCCTTTGTGCGCCCTTAATTAGTCAGTGCCGGTCGATCAAAAGCCCAAAACCCTTATTTGTTTTTGTTCGTCCCGCTTGATTGAATCCAAAAGCCGCTGCCTTTCTCACCAGGGTGAGTCACCACATGTCCAAAACTTGTAAAGATCAGGCGGGTGGATATTTTTCATCGGAAAAGCGACAACAAAAATTGCACGACCACGATCAATTCATGGGCCCACGATGTCTGTTCATCGCCATACGGATGGATGCACCCTGCCACATGCGCCGGCTTTGTGTCGTGTGCCCATGTTTATGTCCACTCAATCTGACGAGTCATTCTCAAAAATGAAATAAAGATGACAAGTTAGGTAACCATTCTTTTTGCCATTGGTCATGGCTTTGTAGCTCTAGGAGCAACTTCAACCGGCCGACCCATTTTATCCGCTCATATTTATTTGAGTTCAAAATGTGTCGGTCTGGACAGGAAGCAGACGCGTTTTGAATTTGGAGTTGGGCCGGTGTTTCTGTCCGCTGCCACCCAAATGAATATGGCAAACAAAATGGGTCGGCCAGTCGGAGTTGCTCTTAGAGCTACAAAACCATGACCAATGGCTCGGCCTAAAATGCGTTGGCGTGGACACGAAGCGGACGCGCCGCGTATACTCTCGTTGTTCATCGTGGCCCCACATGTCGGTCGGCGAACCACCACACGCGGTTGTATTTATCACGGCCATCTATCGCGGGCCCACGCGTTAGCGAGTGGAAACTATGGAAGGCCGTCCTTTTTTAGTTCAACGTGGGGGGGGGGGGCTCATTCACTTTCACGTACGCTGCCCGTCCACATCTACTCCCCGCGTGCTCCCTCGCCGGTGACAAGCAAACCCTAGCCATGAGTTTCTTCAGCGGCTCCGACAAGAGCAAGGGGAAACTCACCCCCGGCGCCAGCTTGTCCCGTGCGCTTCCTCCTCCGCCACCGCCGGCAGCTGCCCGCCCTGTCAGGCAGCGGCTGCGCATTCCGATGCACCAGGCACGGTGGCACTGGCAGTACAGGTAGCCGCTGCCGTACCAAGACGTCACCCTGCCGCACGACTGACATCTGCATCCGTAGCGGATCCCGGTGCCGGTGGTGCTACGATTGCAGCGGCGCACTCCAAGGAGGTACGCAAACGGTGGGAGCTCCTAAAGTCGAAGCAACGTCGGTTGCCGGCGTACGCGTCGGACTCTCCCGGTTATCAGGTGTGGTTTGCCCTCGAGCATGAGGAGCAACGCCGCCGCGCCGTCCAATAGCACCACATCACCCCTCCTCCGCCTCAAGTGGTCAAGCCGGAGGAGGAGGAGGAGGCGGCTGCCTAACAGGCCGCACTGGTGGCGGCCATGCAGACCTCCATCGAGGAGGAGCGGCGCAAGGCGGA